CTCCATCTTTGCAGCTACTATAGCGTACAAACCCACAAGCGAGCTGGTACCTACCTTTCTGTGTTTCCAAGATCCCACTTTCATGCATCAGCTTTGGCTCCTTTGCTCTTAAATGACAATACAAAAACTCCCTTGCAGGGTGCAGGGTCAGAACACTAGGATATTCCCATGAAGAATTCCGGAGGCAGGATTTTTGAGAGCCAAGCTGGGTTATGATTAGAGCCAGCTTAATTTTTAGAAGAACTGCAACTATCCCATCATTTTGTATCGATCTACTATCGAGTTCCTTTCATGGGATGGAACAGCATACCTATGAGTTTCTTCATGAGAACAGAATGCGTGGAGTACCCAAAGAAAGGTGTGGTCTCTAAATGATGTGAGAAATCTCATAAAAATCTCATCAGACCAGGCTGAGGTTTTCATTGAACTGTACGCACGTCGATAGGTGAGGAATGCATCAGCTGAGCCGGCACAACCGCTCCTTCTCATTGCAGTAGGGACTTGTCGCAGGCTTTATCAAAAGCGCGACTAATTTTCAGGTATCGTGGGTGGAAACTTGCAAAGGATAGCGTTGTACACCAAGCCGCATACTGCTATGAGAGTGAATAGCAATTTGATTTCTACGGATTCTCGACTTTGTATGGTCCTTTTGTAGAGAACTGCTACACCTTTCCACACGCATTCACGCCTATTTCTTTCGGAAATCCATTTCGAATTGCGTCGTCCTTTGTGTTTTTCCTATTATTGACAGATTTCAAATCCACTTTTTCTGCATTTCAGAGGAAAGCATTCCCAACAATCAATCGAAGCAAAGGACATTGCTCCTCTAAAACACGAGTATTGTCCGTTGCCGATCCAACAGTAGCAAAATATTCCAAGGAAGGGCCAGAGTGTTGCCCATTACCATACATTCAGTTGGCTGATAAGAAGATTTTCGGATTTGTATTGCCTCAAATAAGGTACAGTTGCTGTAAGAGAATTTGGGGCAATATCAAGATGAGGATGACGCAGGTCCTAACGGTTTCAGACGAAATCGTTCTCCAAAGTACAAAAAGGAGGAACTACAAAACACGTAGATCTTACTACAAATGTATAATACTAATATTTTGAGTATTTTTGCATATGCAGTCGATCGAACCGTTACAAGCTAAGAGCATTTGGAGTCAAATGAAACGAAAGCAAATGATTTAGACACAGCTGTTCTCTTTACCTGATATTTGAAATTAACAACTGGAAGATAAGCTCCTCACTTGATGTAGTTGTGCATTCTGCAAACTTCCTACATGACTTTGCTTTTCGCCTCGATTGATTTGTTGGGCCTCCTCTAAAGTGCGGGACACGTGGATTTGTAATGCATTCATAAAAACATGAACAGAAAGGACGACGTGGTTCGTCAGATTCTTCTGGAAATGGGTTTCCAGAGGAATCTGACGAGATGCACTGCCAAAAGGTATAACAATTCCCTATAAAAGGGCTACACGTTGACGAGAATTCATCGCAATCAAAATGCTGTTCGCTCTCATAGCATGGGCTGCTTCCTGGTGAACGTCAACGCCATCCTTTGTAAGTACAACTGCTCTATCTGCCCGTTACTCGGGAGCCTTAGTACGCTACGCTTGAAGCTGCGTTCATACCTTGTGACGTCGACGTAATTGGCGAAAGAACATATCGAAGCAAAGTGGTTGCCGCACCCGCCGTGACTGAGGCGGTCGACGTTTTTGACGTCAAGCCAACCCGAATCTAACCCTCAGTCGTCGGTTACGTCGTTTATGTCGACGTCGGCAACGACGTCGTTAAGTATGAACACAGCTCAAACCCTTTCCACTGCAATGACATGAAGCAATGTGCCTTTCAGCTGATGAATGCTTCACTTACGGCACATACAATAAATGGTTCCAACAATTCAATGATCGCCTCAACCGTGGTCTGGTTAGTATTTGATGAGAATTGCCCTATCAGTTGAGAGACCAGACCTTTCGTTTAATTACTCCACCGTTCGATTTTCATGACGAATCTCATAGCTATGAATGAATTTGCCCATTTCATAAAATGACTTCCGTGGCTGATTCCATGTGGAAATAGTCAAATGTTCGGCTGCAGCTCTTCCGATCATAAGGGAATCTCTGATCCGGAATTCTCTATGGGAATTTCATCCTAACCTAAATTCATTCTACAGTGAAGTTTTCGCACTGTTACTTGAGAGCAAATTTTTTGTCTTTAGGTTTGGGATCCAAAGCTGATGTATGAGATTTGTGACGATCTAAGGGATGTGACGTCCTCTAATGCGGAAATTAGATACGAGGCAGAAAGGTAGGTATCTGCTTGCTCACAAATTCATCCGCTGCACTTCTTGCAAAACAACGGTTTAGAGATTTCTCGACAGAGCCAAGACGTACGCTTGAGTCCAAAGTGAAGAAAACCCTGTTCACCAGCAGTTCCTCTACAAAGAACTGGCAAAAGGAATATTGTTAAGTTTTAAAATTATAAACTTACCGCCTTTCACCAGCGCGAAAAGTGGCGTGAAAATATAGCTCCACATCCTTGGTCGAAGGGGTTCAAGAACACTGCATTATAACGGAATAAGCACAACTTGCTTCTCTTCTCCTTCCGAATTATCATGCGCAGTAGAAGGAATATTTGCGCAGTAATGCCTTCCCACGTTAAGTAGGTCTTTCGTCAGATGAAATGTACATTAATCTCGCCTGTTCAGGTACGTAAACTTCCTGTGGGCACGAGGTATGCATGCAACGGAATCGAGAAAGGAAGCAAACTGGAAATCCTATGCGTTTACTACAAACCTGAGTGAAAGTTGTCGCAGTGTTTCTCACACAAAAAAAGTTAGCCGCTCAATCTGGTTTTCTCAAGTGACGAATAAATTGGTCTCAAATCAGAACTTGCAACTAAATAGCACGTCTCGCGATCACAATTAGTGGGTTGTGCTATTCGAATGCTAACGCCGAGATGTTACAAAATAACAGAGAAAATAGCAAAAAAAACGGCCTAATCTGCCCAAGGTAGTAGCTCCGGCTGATTCGAGTTCCGCGCATTCAGCGATGGAAAGGCGTACTGTTTGGGCAATTTTCTTTGTTGGTAGGCCTGACGATGACAATTTTACAACTTTGAGCATGGTGCATGCTTGCAAAAGCATCGTACCAACAGATAAAGGACAGGGCTGCCTTGAAGTGTTGAAACATCATATGTAAGCTGAGGCTGGAATGGGGCCATTTAAAGACACATAGTACGCCCATACACATTGAGGGTGTATGAGACTATCAGCCCCCCAGATGTCGATGTGTCGTGGTCCCCCCGCCCAAACATGCCCGGGAATGGAGATACAGGGCCGTGAAACACGCTAATTCTTCCATGCTCCGCCCACTGCCTTTTTACGGCGCAGATTCCCGCCGTTCATAACATCCGTTGCAAGCGCGCCTGTCGCGTGCGGCTCCTTGGCACTTTGCCAAGTCCTTTAATTGCGCTCTCAAATACAAGTAAAACGCAATTTCCTGATGCGGATAACATTGGAGGTGCTACAAAATAAGAGCAGAAGATGATGACAAGGCAGGCGAACTCAAGCAACTCGGCTGCATCTGCAGTATCCATCAAGGGCCGCGCATTCCACAAAACATGAAAATAAAAACAGCCCAAGCGTCCCACTCGTTTGTTCTAAGTATTTCTATGGCTTTGGCGCCGGATCGTAGAAATTTACAGGCCAGTTTATCTAATTTGCCTTTCCTTGATTTTTTCATTTTTGTTTTGTTTACATTTACATCGTTGTGCTTCATTTCTAGCCTGTGTCATCTTCATCTCCTTGTACATGGATTTTGAAGCATGAGCAACACCTTAAATTTTATTCGCATCAGGAAGTCTTCTGCTTGTATTAACTAATGAGTTATAGCACCGTTTTTAGTTTTTATTTTCATGTTTCGTGGAAATACGTGGCCTCCGAGGGATGTTGCAGAAGTGGCACAGTCGCTTTTAGGTTCTGACCCTCGTCATCATCTTCTGCTCTTATTTTGTAGCACCTCCAATGTTATCCGCATCAGGAAATTGCGTTTTCCTTGTATTTGAGAGCGCAATTAAAGGACTTGGCAAAGTGCCAAGGAGCCGCACGCGACC